GCTTTTGGGAAGAAAAGATGCAAAATAAAATTCAAAATTTTTATAAGCAATATGCCTTATCAGAACTAGTTGACAGAAGAGCTATTAGAGACATGAAAGTACGGGACAGAATACCAAATAAATGGTGAGAAATTTTGTTTATTATCATGATGCAAGGAATCTTAAATTATTTGGAATATGTTTATTCATTTAAGAGTTATACTTTATTTATTTCTAAAACATGGTAGTAAGCGATCTATTTAAAATATTATTATAATACGTTTTTTTAAATTTTAGATTTTACCAGTGGGAGTGACAATTGATAATATATAATTATTATACCAAATATTTTGACTAGTGGACTATGTTCAATAGAAATTGAAAATTTAGATATGAATCTTTGTAACGTAATTATTTATAACTTTAATAACTTCATACGGTCAAAAATGTTAGCTAACTTATTTAATTCTAAACATAAATTGAATTTCATTTTAAAAGTTAATTATATTGTTTAGTTGTTGCAACTTTACTGCGCTTAAATACCGTTCAGATTAAAATATGAATTGATTTATGGAGCTTAACTGAAAAACAAGACCTAAAATATTAATTCCTTTCTTAATGCATCTGATTATTTTTCCCATGATTATTAAATGCACATTGATAATCATTTTGAAGTAGTTTGAAATGACCTACTAGACACGCGAAATATATTATTATTAACAATAATCAAGGAGTATAAAATTACTGTAATTTTTAACAATATCTCGCGGACTATAAGTAATAACTCTACTGTCAACAACGAACGCTTTCGCTATTTTTTATAATATGTTAATTGTTAGGAGAAATGCTTGATAAATTACTACTAAGTAACTTTTATTTAAGATAAAAACCGTTAAAAGTGAAAAAACGAGTTTGTATTTCTTGTAAAATAATTTTAATCAAATTTAGCTTAGCATTATATACAGAGTATAACAATGACAACTCTTGGAGTACGGCAACAAAACTTTATGACAATTATGACAATAGGACTACTATTATATATTGCGTTACATTTACTTTTAGTGCCCTAAAGAGGGATAAAAATTGTTACGTATTGTAAAGTGTGACGCTTCATTTGAAAGCTTTGAAAGTTTTATAATGCATAATATAACATAATTTAATGAAACATGAGCTTAAATAATCCCAAATAACACTAATGCTCTTATTGAGATCTTCCAGGTCGCTTTAAAGCTATACAATAAAATTTCGAATAAAACCAAATGATCTTCAAGATCAAGACAGCCCCAAGACCCCTATAAAGGAGCTTCTAGCCAAAAAAGACTAAATTTTTAAACTATATTGAAACTTGAAGAGGTTGAGTGGTGTGTACACACTGGGTAATAAGAAATGAATCGAGAGTATTTAAAGTATGTAAATTAAGTTTTATTAATAAAACTCTGTAAAAAATTAGTCTAAGCGGTTTCAGCCTATTAAGCCATCATCAGAGACTTCGTCAAAAACTATAGAAGTATATACAGGGTTGCGTTTTTGCCTGGCAAATAAAAATATGTTTTTTAAATAGAACACACTGTATTTTATTTTATTTTTAGAATAGTTTGATAATACTGTATTTAATCCTAGAATGTTTTTTAAAAATATAACAGTGTTGCCAAGCTATTAATTTTTTTTTTGAAATGAGAGAATGATGCAGACCCCAAATTAATTTAACATAATTCAGGTAGGTTTAAATTGATTTTAAAATTGTTTAATAATAAGACTTACAAGATATTAAGCTAGGGTGCCACCTGTACGGGTTTTACCCAGACTGTCCGGGTTTTGAACAATTTGTCTGGTGTCCGGTCGAATGATGAAAATGTCCGGGAATATCTGGGTAACTTATTATTGGTTTATAAAATTATAAGCTGAAGCCCTTTAAGCTCAACAGAACAAACTGGTTTAGAAAATTATAAGCTGAGGACTTTTTTTAGAAATTTCACAAAAGTCCGGGTTTTGAGAAATGAAAAGGTGCTATACTAAGCTAACGAATAATGGTGATAGAACTGGTTTATTTTATACAGAAAGTTTTTGAAACATGTCTTAATATGGCTAATTTGTATTTTTTTAACTTTGTTGCCATAGTTCGATATAATAAACCTTTTGGACCAGACATTGCCATTTTTTCATTTATATTTTATGATATAATTTTCGAAATACTTCGATAAATAAATAATTCCCGATTTTATTCTATTTTTAAATATACAGGGTCGTCCATAAACGAGGAACTGACCAAACTTATACATTTTTAAAGCACAACACCCTGTAGATAGTTATACATATTTGATTATTTTCACATCGACAAACAATTTTAAATGACTTTACTTATTTGCCATGTTGTATATAGGGTGGGTCAAAACGTGAAGTTACGATTTTTTCAATTGTTTAAATACAATACCCTGTATTTTAACACACCCCATATATAAGATATCAAATAAATGAAGTATATTAAAATTGTTTGACGATGTGAAAACAATCAAATATGTATAACTACCTACAGGATGTTTTGCTTTAAAAATGTATAAGTTTGGTCAGTTCCTCGTTTATAAACCACCCTGTATATTTAAGAATATTTATTAAATATAGTCATACAACTTTTATATTATTTTTTTTTTTGTATTTTCAATAATAAAACGATTACAAATTATTTTGCACTGATGGGACACTCTGTATATGTGCTATTGGTTAACATGTTGGATAGGTAAATGTATAAGTAATTTTATGCTAAAATAATATACAGGGTGTTGTATTTAAGACATGTTTCAAAACACTGTGTAAAATAAACCAATTCTTTAACTACTATTTGTTAGCTTTGTATAAGTCTGTATATTATATAATTTTGAAGTCAATATAAATCTACCTAAATTATGATGATTTAATTTGAGGTCTGCATTATTTTCTAATTTCAAAAAAAATTAATTGTTTGGCAATGCTGTAATATTTTTTAAAACCATTCTAGCGTTGAATACAGTATTATTAAACCATTCTAAAAATAAAATAAAATACAGGGTGTTCGATTTTTATTTGCCAGGCAAAATCGCAACACCCTGTATATCCAAAAATATTTTTAAAATATGTATTTTTTAAATCCATATAACTTTTATTTGATTTTTTTGGGTATCAATAACACAAATTAAAATTTTGAATAATTACGCTCTAATGGGACACCCTGTATAAGAAAATATGAAAATGCTTTCATATATGAACATGGGTTCGGAAATGCATAGTTTTCAAGATACACGTACATACATCCCAGTTTTTAAAAGAATTTGTTGCCCAAAATAAATGCAATAAATTGTTTTTTATTTTTTTCACAAAAATAAAGCACAATGCGAAAACAATTATTCAAGATATAAAAATGTTGTGTTTTTAGTTTAGTCCAAAAAAATAGTCAGTGGCGCCAAGGGCGGCTCCAAGACGAATTTTCGGGGGATAGGCATTGCCTTTAGATCAGTGGTTCTTAAACCTTAAACCTTTTTGAAAAGCAAAATATTTGACGGAGCCGTAAACACATTTTTGCGTTGCCCCTACAACAAAAGCCTCAAAATCATATCATCCTTCCTCTGGAGTCTAAAAAAAGATCCTTATACCAAAATCATATTCCTCTTCCTGACTTCTAAAAAAAGGCCTCCAACCAAAATACCAATATAGTATACTCCTTCCTCTTCTGTATCTGTAATCTGTAACGTGTGGAGGGTGGGTTACCCCCACGGCACTTAGGCCTCATTAGGCCCATTATGCATCCTCCTAAGATGATAGGCACCTCCTAGTTCGTCAGCCAGCCTACAGATTACTCCTTCCTCTTACTCAATTCTAAAAAAAACGACTATTATTTTCTTCGCGGAGCCCAGGGGCTCCGCGCACCACACTTTGAGTAATGCTGCTTTAGATATGTCCTTTTTAGCATATTTTTTTGAATAAAAGGCTCATAAATCGTAAGAATTTTATTCTCGGGGAGGCCTTGGCCCCTATGCCCCCCCCCCCCCCCCCCCCCCCCTAGAGCTGCCCTTGAGTGGCGCACATTTTTTAGCAATAATATTTGGTAAGGTGTCCCCCGGGACGTCACTGGATTTCGCAATTTTAATCTAATCATGCCCTTATTACTAGAAGCAAAGTCACTTAATTTCAACAAAATCAACCAAAAGATTTTTAAGATATTTACAAAAAACATTTTTTTTAAAAAAAGACACTATTTATATCTTAAAAATCATACATTTTTTGACTCAGGTTCTTATTAACAAATTTTTGTTTTCTTTTATAGAAATTTCTTTGAAAGGTATATACGAACACCCTGTATATATTTCCTATATTTTAAGTGGGAATATAGTTCCCAGAGCCTGATTAAAGGGACTCAAGAATGAACTTCTGGGCCCCAATGTTTAGGGTTGCCAACCGTCCTGCATTTCGGTGGACGTCCACCATTTGGGGTGCATTGTCCAGTGTCCTGCAACAACCTATTGCAGGACGCTTATTGAACTTAATTTTAGTGTTTCAAATAATATCTCCAATTTCTTATATTTTATGGTCACATTGGCATCGTCGCTTATTTTGTAATTTGTATTTTGTATATTTGGAAAGGATATTTTCAATGTGTTCAGCTTCGTGAACTAACGCGCGTTATCGATTGTCCATTGAACACATTAAGACCAATTCCGAACTTCAAATAAAAATTAATTTTTTTTATAATTGCAAAGAATTTTATAATTTTTTAAAAGATAACAAGAAGTTAATAGTATGTAGCTGCAAAAAGAAAAAATTAGACTTTAAACGCAGTGATACTGTGAAGTAGCTGTAACTTTTTATATTCTTCTTATGTTCTTTTTAAATAAAATGTTTAATCATTAGTTTCTATTTACTTCGTTTTTTTTTTGTCGAATTGTTTATTAAAGTTTGTTGTTTTTGCAAAAATAAAAATGTTCTGAATTTTTCTTACCCTCGTCCAGAAAAATTAAAAAAACAAAGTTGGCAACCCTACCAATGTTACTTACTTCTCCCCAACATTTCCATAAGATTCCCATCTTTGATCGACACGCTACCCCGCTTCCCCAAAGTATCCAACAGCAACAGCTCCTGGGCTTGTCTCTCATTGGGCACTGTCTTCACCTTTATCACACAAAAAATCAACACGAGAAAAACGAACCGTTGTAGTAGTAAAATGCCACGATCCAGTCGAGTCGACATCAGTTCCGTTTTTCGACGATCAAAACATGAAAACACGATACGGATTTCGATTTTTCACATCATTATTTCTTTTAATTGTTGGGATTTTCGATGGAAAAAGACCAGTTGGATTCGTGCTACTGCTTTCCACGTTCTAGGAAGTCTTACGGTTAACTGAAGACACATTAAGCAGCAGCGATCGTCTTTGTTTACATGAAGAAGAGGCAAAATTGCGACAAGTGAAAGCTCTTGGTATTTGGTGGCTTCCATGTACCATAGGCGGGTTTTAAAATGCTGTTGGTACCTAACGTTAATTGTTGTTAAAATAATTGATGTTTATTTAAGAGGTTTTTTGATTTTTTGTATTTTTTTTGTTCTAGTACAAGCACGAGCAGTGGCGTAGCTAGAAATTTATCATGGGAGGGGTTCACATATATCAGAAACCATTGATAACAGTATCGTGAAACATTTTCATCCCTAACATACTGGCCGTCATGATAAGTGAGTTTCAAATATGTCACTACTAACAAGAATCGGGGAAAAGTTATGTGTTTTAATAATTTTAATATAATGATAATAATAATATTTATTCATACAAAAAAAATACAATAATAAGTAGGATATAAACGCAGCTTGTTTGTGATATTTAACTAATAAGTATTATAAAGAAAAAAAAGTTCAAATACCTACACAGATTAAAAAATATACACACATCAAAAAAATCTAGGGAACAAGGATTAAAATTGATATAACTTTTTTGAGACACCATGATTTTGAAGGTTTAGCAATTAATAAAATGTGCGTAAAAAATATTTGTCTTTTATCGATAAAAATAGCGTATTAATTTCTTTTGGTTTTTACTTCTACGAAGGACAAAACGAGATTTTTGGTATTCGAATTAGTGTTTAGTTTAGTTCTTCATGATGGAAAGACGACATTTAAACCGCGACGAACAATTGCGAGCAGTAGGGATGGTTGAAGGGGGCCAAAATTATAGAGCAGTAGTGGAGGTCCTTAACACATCAGCTAGTAAGTGTGATTTGTCGATTGATGAGAAGATACCGTGAGACCGGGGATATTAGAGAACGACATACTGGTCGTACGAGAGCAAGTGACCCTCTACATGATCGTTTTATTCGATTACAGGCACTACGAGATCGAACTGTCACAGCAGGTCAGTTTGCAAATCAGTTATACCGCACACACCATAATGCTGTGAGCAGCCAGACTGTGAGGAACAGGTTGCACCAGTTCAACCTTTATGCTCGCAGACCGCTCCGTGTTCCCCCGTTAACAAGAGGTAATCGCGCACAAAGACTGCGATGGGCACAAGAACATCAACACTATGAATATCAAGAATGGTCTACGGTACTTTTTACAGACGAATCCCGATTCGGTTTTCATCCGGATTTACGTCGACTTCGTGTGTGGAGACGACCTGGAAATTTGGAACGTCTTGCTGCAGCCCAGGAAGTCTACAGCTACCAGGGTGGTACAATAATGGTGTGGGGGGTATGCGTGTCGAAGGAAAGACTGGCCTCGTTTTATTAGACGGCTTTTTGAATTCTACAGTTATCGTAACAGTATTTTGGAACCTGTTGTGCTGCAGAATTTGGTCCGAATGTCCAACTAATGCACCACAATGCCCATCCACACACAACACGGCTCGTGCGTGAATTTCTAGAAACTGAGCATATCAATGTTGTGCCATGGCCTGCTCAGTCACCAGACAAGCTTGAACATTTGTGTGATTCAATGGGACGAAGACTTCTTCGTCAACAAAGGCAGTTTGACACAAGGGAACAGCTCTTTAATTATCTTTCTGACTTATGGAATACTACAGACCAAATGGAAATTAACAATCTCATTTTCAGCATGCCGAACTATAATTATTGATAGAGCACAAACAATCGAGAATTTTGTTTTTGTGAGATTTCTTGCATATCAAGTTATTGAGGTTTTTATTTTTTTTTTCTATAATTGTTGAAATAATTTTTGTGTTCTTGTAAAATTTAGTTTTTTTGTTGATAGTGTTAAACGAATGTTAGTATCATCAATAGCCACACAAATTTTTAAGGTAATATATGGTGTCTCCAAAAAGTTTTAACAATTTTTATTCTTGTTCCCTAGATTTGTGTGTATATATAAAATTGTATAAATAAATAAAATACTCGATAAGCTAAAAAACTAAATTAAAATTACAGAAAGAATATTTGAATTTGAAATAAACTTACACTAAAGGAAAAATTTAAGAGATCAAAAAAAATCTCGATTTTGCGATTTTTCGAGTGGCTGTATCTTTGGTAAAAATGGTCGTACGTGAATGAAAGAAAAAGCAATTTGAAATTTGAAGTGTCTAGTTTATGAAAAAATTTTCAACCAACAATTAGCACAAAATCCTGATGAATATCATGGATAGAAAAACGCGATCCTTCAATTTCTTCAAAAATTCATTCGCATGAAACAATGTAGGGCTTTCGGGGGAACAATGGCCTGTAAGATGCATACTCAACATTATTAATTTTCCCAATATTTTCAATGTGGCACCTGATTTTCTAAAAAACCTCAAAAATACCTGTTTTCCGAAATTCTTCAAAGTCGTGCTAGGGATGAAAAAAAATTTTTTTTCTCGTGAAAGAACATACTGTAACCTTGTAGAGAATGAATCGAAGTTTCCGAAACCCCCCTTCCATTTTCTGAGCGGCCATTGCTTCCTGAGATATTGACAAGAGAAGAAGAAATGACGCAATTTCGTTCATTTTCTGATAACTCAGCAAGAAAGGGTCATCTCGAAGCCATAAAAAAAAGGAATTAAAGCTAACTGAACCACTTATCCAATGCATATAGTGGTGATGTCGAAAAAAAATTTTTCAAGTCCATACACTAAAAATTAAAAAAAAAATTAAAAAATTTTCTATATATGATATTCATCAAGATTTTGTGCTAATTGTTGGTTGGAAAATTTTTTTATCACAAGATCCATAAACTAGACACTTCAAGCTTCAAATTGCTTTCATTTTTCATTCACATACGACCATTTTTACCAAAGATACAGCCACTCGAAAAATCGCAAAAAATATTGTTGATTTTATTTGGATTAATAAATTTAATATATTTGCTAGTATTCCTATTGATTACTTATTTATCATTCCCTAATATGACCTGCAAAATAGTGGAGTACTGATCTATAACGTTTGTTTTAAGTATTAGTGGAATTATATTATCTTTTATTATTATTATTATATTTGGATTTGATAAATATGTGATCTAAACAAGATTTGGTGTTACCTTGAACCCTAGTGGCTTCATTAATAGTTGAGTCATAACCATGTTCATTATTTTATGGAAGCAAATAGGTCACATTTTCAACACCTGTTAAATTAACGTTTTAATTAATCTTTAAAAAAATCAATTTTACAGTTTATTACTTTTTTTAGGAAGTAGGTAAACTTAAAAAACTAACAAAATTGAAATGTAATTTCCCATAAAATTGCCTTACTACTTACTGATAAAAGTTAGTTGATTTTGTACCACTAGTGCTAAGCTGCATTTTTAACAAAAAAGTCAAAACAAATAATGTAGATTTTTTGATGTTATTTGATCTGGTCTAGTGACTCTCCATGTATAGCTGCAAAGTTGGTATCCATAAGAAAATTGCTTCTTTTGATCTCTACAGGTAATAATAAAGTTTTAATAAGAACATCGACAAAGATCCAAAATCAAAGTAATTGGTGAATCGATATATAATTTCAATTGCTTCTATTACCTAATATTGGATAGTTGTAATCAATATCCGTTAAATTTCGCAAAAGGAAGGTACCTAATTCTATTTATTTGAATTAAACATCCATTGATCCTTTTGTTTACAATTAAAGAGCAGATTGCTTTACTTTTATTTCGACATTGTTTTAATGCCACAATTACCGACGCTTAATCGGATTTTCCGATAATTGCACTCTTGGTATTCACGAGATTTTGGTTCTGTGTATACAGGACGGAATTATTTATATGGAGATGGAATCGATCTTATAGTGATCTTATGATAAATACGTAAAAACAATCAATAAATATCTTTTTCTAATTTTGTTCCAAACAAAATGGCTACCAGTGGGTTATGACAGGTTATCGTAAACTAAAATATATATAAATTGTATATACTTACGACCCATATCGTCGAAGAATCGTGATCTTAATGAGGAAAAGACCAGCTTCTTGTCGTGTAGTAACTTCCCATCATCTGAAAATAAAAAATACATTCACATTTGAATTTAAATCACATTTGAATGGATCAAAATATTCATATTTACGAAACGTGTTGTCAAAAATTAATTAAACGAGTGAAATAAGTCTTATATAATACAAAGGAAAACTCATTTACACATGTTTTTTTTGTAATGTATTTAAAAATATTACTTTTATGTTAATAAAAATATTTTTTTCTATCAACGCCACTTCAAGAGGTTAAAACTGTAATTCTTCGTAATTTTAAAAAATAATCCTAGTGTAGATATAAATAACATATCTTTGAAAATCTATAAAAGACTGTATGATATACAGGGTGGGGCAGAATAACGAGAGATTTTATAAAATCCGACAACCGAACTGTATCATTAGAAGGTGATACATATGCTATTGGCCATGTTTCCTTGTTTCTTGTGTATTAGCATTTAGAAATAATGGAGCCGTGGACCCCTCAGCAGCGCGTATACGCTGGGATGGTGTTTAATTAAAAGGCATTATCTCCAGATCATGGGATTTCTCGAAATGCAGACATCACCTGGCTTCCCAGTTCACCAGACCTCACAACGTTCGTTTTTTTTTTTGTTGGTTTACTTGAAGAATAAAGTGTTTCAAGATAACCCATCATAAACAATTTAAGACGAATCTGACTGGAAATGGACAAAATTCCCCTGGAAATGCTTAATATACTATTAAGGAATTAAGGCAGCACTGTCACCAGCCAAATGGTCCTGGAGTCCAGAAGGAACATCAATTCCCCAGTGGCAAATAAAAATAATAAAAAAGTTAAATTAAAAAAAAATATATCCCTTAATAGCATAGTCGAGCGGTTCTTGGCAACTAGTTTAAGACTCTTTCAGTGCTAAGGGAATAGAAACACCAAATCTTCTCAAATGCTCGGAATATTTGCCTGGTTTTGAAAGTATTAAAAAATTAACAAATGTATATTTAAAATAAGTACATAAGTGGCTAGTATTCTAAAGAATAAATTACTCAAATTTCGAAATATTTGTAGATATTGATAGAGTAGGTCTATACTTCGATT